ATCACTCTGTCATAATTGGTAAAATAATGCATACCATCTTCTTCTGGAAGCACTCATTGTATCAAACCTAACTAGTGCACTCTCTCCTGTACTTTAAAAACAGAGGAGAATTCAAATGAGTAAGTACCTGCATTGCTTATTCTTCTCCCTGTCCGAGATTGCTTTAGGTGTCTCCAAGTATTCCTGAGCTTTACGTCTCTAGGTAATCCCAAAAGTAATGAGGAGAAAATAAGAGAAAGAAGGCAGTCATTCAATCAACCAACAAATAGTTCTTGAACTCCAAATCTGTGTCTAGAAATATTCTAGACTGTAGGAATACATCTGTGAACACAACAGATAAAACTTAGCCTTCATGAAGCTTTTTCTCTATGCTCTGCTGGCCAGTAGAATTTTCTATGATAACAGAAATCCTATATATCTGTACATTCAATATAGTAGCTAGCCACTAGTGACACATGCACTTAAAATTGTGGCTAGTTTGAATCTTAACTTCCTAATTGTATTTAATTGAAAAAAAATTTAAACTTAAATTAAACCTGTGGCTAGTAGCTTCCATACTGTACAGCATGATTCTATAGTGTTTGTATGTGTGTTTGCAGGAGGGTTATAAAGCAAGACAAGTTGGGTGGACATGGCATAAAAAATTAAAATGAATGAGACTTCTTTCAGAATTCTTAGTCCTGGTGAAAATGATTCTGCAAGCCACAAGATATATGAGTCCCTGAAATACATAATTAAGCTGCAGAAGGATCTTTTTACTGATAGGCAATCATGTTGATGTCACAATTAATGCCTGAACACCAGCTAATGTCCACATAGGGAAGAATAATTACAAAAAAAATCATTAATTAGGGTCTATTTACTATTCCATTGTCAAAACTAAATGCCTGGAATAAGATGTTCTCCCTTGATTAATGGCTTTATAAGTGCAAGTCCAAATCTATGAGGGCTACTGTTTCCCAGGAAAATAGTTTAAGGCTCCAGTAGGAGTTAATACCAGGTAATAGCCATATCTTGTGCTTTGGCTGCCCACGCCAGATCTTAGTGTTAATTTCAAGACAGCTAATTGAATTTGGGGCGTCAAATAGATGATCCAACTACCACTTTTTCTAAGAGGTGCAACCCTTTTCAAAAACAGAATCTTCTGGTCTTGAAGCATTGCTTTTATTTTGGAACCTTCAGCCAAGTTCAGGAAGTTAAGATGGAATTAGAGTAAAAAACATAAGTCCCTCTTTGATTGATATGTGTGTTCACAACCTTATTCAATGATCTGATTACCTTAATTTAACATCAGATTTTTGTTGGATTTTGTTTGGTGGGTTTCTTTTTTTGTAGGATCCAGGATGTGCATATATTTACTGGGGCCTTGGATGAAGAGGTGGTATCCAAAGAGCAAAATAGTTCAGCAGTGAAGTGGGACACTTTTCCTGGTCCCTCTGACCATAATTCCTATACTGTTCCTCTGAGCGTCCAAAGCTTATTCATCCCTCTTCCAAGATGATTCATTCCATGGAACAACTTGAGGATTGGGACAAGAAGCAACCAACTGTAAATCTTTCCCAGTCCAGGAATTTAATACAAACTCATTGAACAAATGAGTCAGTGAATAATTGAATCCCATGAGGAAATAAAAGCACATGTGAATCTTCCACATTTTGCATTTCTATAACAAAAATTGAAGCTTAACTCACACTTCATATAATTTTGTTCTTATCAACATATTAGAAAAATAAACAGAGCCCTAATTCAATGATTAAAAATGGCACTTCCCCAGCCAAAAGTAGTTAGGATGGTAAAGTAGAAAAGGAGGAACTTGGGGCTCCTGGATGGCTCAGTCGATTGAGCGTAGGACTTTGGCTCAGGTCATGATCTCACAGTTTGTGGGTTCAAGCCCCACGTCGGGCTCTGTGCTGACAGCTAGCTGAGAGCCTGGAGACTGTTTCAGACTCTGTGTGTGTGTCCCTCTCTCAGACCCTCCCCTGCTCACACTGTCTCTCTCTCTCTCTCTCAGAAATAAATAGAACATTAAAAAGGTTAAAAAAAAAAAAAAAAAAAAAAAAAAAAAAAAAAAAAAAAAAAAAAAAAAAAAAAAGGAAGAACTTATTCTTGCCTCATTCCTCCAACAACACAGTAGATAATTATCAAATCATTCTGAACACCCAGGAAATCCATCAAGGACTGAGCGAACAAACTGCACAACTAGAGGGAGACAAGGGGCCACATTATGGAAGGTAGGAGGTGTGGTGATGTGATTTGAGGGAGAAAAGAATCAAGGGTCCTACGGAGGGGAGGGAGCTCTGATCATGAAGGGAAGAAAGAAAGAGAAAGAGAGAGGGCAGCACATGGGGGACTGCACAAGAAAAGCACTCTCCAAAACCATTCACCAAGAAAGCGAGAAGGGCTGATTATGACAACTATTTACAAGCAGTGTAGCTGAAAGTCTGAAGTTATTACATACAGTCAATTATAGCATTCTTTATTTCACCATGATAACTTTATTTTACTTATAAATACATCAATAACAACAAAAAATAGCAAAATAAGCCTAAATGTTAATAGGTATTAAATATGTTTTAAGTATATATGTGTTTATTAAATATTTTCTCTACTTAATATATGTTTGGATATTTTCATAGTTAAGATTTAAAAAAAAAATAGAAACCAGTGCCTTTCTTTTAAAGCATATCGTAATCAAAAGAAGAGTTATAATAATTAAAGAAGCAAATGTTATTACTCTATATTCATAGTAAAATTAGAATAAAGATTAAAGAAATCATTTCATCTGTATATGAAAGCTGTTCTCTTTATTTTATTTTCTCATAGAAAATAACTTCAGTGTAACTACTTTCACAATCACACTACAATTAAATGTGCTTCTAATGTGCATCATTAAGATGACAATCCATTTCTCCAATTTTTTATATAAAGGAATATTTGTTGTGAGATTAATTTTAAAATATTAATTTTGGGACACCTGCATGGTTCAGTAGGTTAAGCATCAGACTTCGGCTCAGGTCATAATCTCACAGTTCCTGAGTTTAAGCCCCATATCAGGCTCTGTGCAGACAGCTCAGATCCTTGAGCCTGCTTGGGATTCTGTGTCTCCCTCCCTCTCTACCCCTCCCTCACTCACACATACACACACATACACTCTCTCTCTCTCAAAATAAACAAACATTAAAAAATGTTTTTAATGTTAATTTTGCTTTAGTTAGAGACTCTTTAAGAAACAAACAGCATTGGGGCGCCTGGGTGGCTCAGTCGGTTAAGCGTCAGACTTTGGCAGGTGATGATCTCACAGTTCTTGGGTTCGAGCCCCGCATTGGACTCTGTGCTGATGGCTAGCTCAGAGCCTGGAGCATGTTTCAGATTCTGCATCTCCCTCTCCCTCTGCCCCTCCCATGCTCACGCTGTCTCGTCTCTTTCTCTCTCAGAAATAAATAAAAACATTAAAAAAAGAAAAAAAAAGAAAACAGAAACAAACAGCATTACTGGCATGTGACTCGTGAACAGTTTGGCTGGTCCTGTAACTCCCAGCTAATATACTACATTTCCCAGTGAGATAATGTAATCTCAGCATTATCCTACTTAGCATATGAAAATAGATGGTGACTCTACTTATCATGGCAAGCTTGTATAATGTATAGACTTGCCAAATCTCTATGTTGTAAACCTGAAACTAATATAGCATTACATGTCAACTATACTTCAATAATAATTTAAAAAGCAATCAGAACATGAAATTAAGGTAGACTACTTGCAAAGTTTATAATATATTAAACAGTGAGATAATTACTTTGGTTATCTAGATATCAATTTTAAAACAAAGCACTAACTGAAAAGAATGCCATTTTTGCCAAAAGCTAATATTGTGGTTACAAAGAATGACTTTACACAAAGAGATTTAAGCGTGTGCCATGTTTAACATCATCACTTTAGTCCTCTAAATCAGTACGTTCAGTAAGAGGTCTGAATTCATACTCACAATAGAGATCATTAAAAAATAATAAACTAGTTTAAATAAGACAAAATTCTCTGAGATTTTACAGTGACATTAATGCAGCCTATAATTAATAGCACTTTTATTCTTCATGTGCTTTTAGCATAAGCAGTTTATGCATATGACAGAGAAAGGAATTTTATTTATGCACGTTGCTCAGTATGATGAAACTAAATTATCAACCCAGCATCTAATACTTAACGTGAATTTTCCTTTCCAGATAACATGATGGAATTTTAATAGTAGCTTAGTAGCTATGTTTCAAGCTGCACAGAAGTCCCAAATACCATTTCAATTGATGGAGAAGTATCAGTGTCTTGATAATATGAAATATCTATCCTTATATTATCTTATTGATTATTCTATGCTATGTTAAATTCTGCTTTTCTGAATGGGATCCACATCCCTTCTACAGTGCAATCTAATAGTTAAATACTCCATGTGCTTCAGTTCTTAGCAAACATTAATATTTTTTCTTTCCACTGACAGAAACAATGACTAATGCATGCCTTTATTCAACTATTATTTATTCTCTCAGACATACATACATTCACTCAGCATTTCAATATTACATAAGATTCTAAGGATGTAAAAATAGTCGAGGCATTCTCCCTAAAGGAATCATATAAGGAGAGATGCAAACTATTAATTTTAATACAAAATGATAAGAACTATCATAGGGTAAGTTGAGTCTCTTTCCTATTGCATTTCCCCAAGTAATAAGACCATCTCTATGTGCATAAAAATCCAATCTTTTTAGATTCATCTTGTCTATGGCATTTGTTAGTGTTGTTTCCAAGTCATAGCATCAAAACTGTGTTTAGGGACGAGTGGTCCATGTTACAAAAACAATAATCAAAATGTACATCTCCATCCGTATTCTTCTAATTCTGATTCCACTGACTTTATACAGGTTCCCTGTTGTTCATTTTCTGTCCCTTCTAGGGGCACCGCAATAGTGGTAATTTTTCCTGGGCCTTCATTTGTTATATACTGTGCCCCCTCAGAGGGGGCATGCAGATCTTCGTGAAGACCTTGACAGGCAAGACCATCACCTTGGAGGTAGAGCCCAGTGACACCATCGAGAACATCAAGGCCAAGATCCAGGACAAAGAGGGCATCCCCCCTGACCAGCAGAGGCTGATCTTTGCTGGGAAACAGCTAGAAGACGGGCGCATCCTGTCTGACTACAACATCCAGAAGGAGTCCACTCTGCACCTGGTCCTGCACTTGAGGGGAGGTGTCTAAGACCCCCCTATAAGCTCCGACCAAATTCATTGCACTTTTCTTTCAATAAAGTTGTTGCATTCCCAAAAAAAAAAAAAAAAAAGGAAGATATGTTCTCACCCATGCTCTTGCTGTAACATTCCTCCTCTTCCCCCACGCTCTCTTGTAGCTGAGAACATCTTTTTTCTGATAATGTTTGCCTTATATGTATCTATATTCAAGGCAACTAAAAATTTATGCATTACATTAACATCTACTGCAACCTTAAACAAGTCATGGAAGGCAAGGAGACTGAAGTTACTTTATAATAATGTAGGAGTAGGGTAACACACATTTGGGTCATCAACCATTTCCTGACATGCACATAGAATTACAGTAGCAGAAAAACACAGACAACTGATATTTCCTATGAAATTCCAAATATTTGTTCCTATGAGCTAAGGATGGGTATACCAGGTTGTACGAAAGACACTTCCAGATGACAATACGACATTTTTTTTTTTTTGTAAAGTAAGACAGAATGTGCTGTGTATTGGGAATGGCACATAATTTGTTATTGTTGGATTACAAGGTTTGTTGAAGAGAGTTTCAGAAATTAACCCAGACAGATAGCAAGTACCCACTAATGGAAGACTTTATACTATAAAACGTCTGCATCTTAAATTATGTATGAAAGTTACAGTAAATAATTTTAAGCATAAAACTTACATGATTTAAATTTGAATTTAGAAAGATCATCTTTTCTTAACTGTAAGGGATTAATAGTCAAAAGTAGTTCAATATCTATGAAGACAGAATTA